GAGCTAACTCATTTCACTACTGTGGTCAAGTAATTGGCTTTAAATCTATACTCTATACCCAACTTTCTGTGGTCGCCACACAAACACATCTTCTCAAAGTGGATCCAGCTAACTACACGGTCGTACAAACATGGCTTTCATTCACTTTCTGATAGGGGCGACTGATTGACCACATGAACATATTACTTCTATATGACATCTTTTTTCTCTGCCATTGAATTCCTGATGGAAAGTGATGGTTTTTTTTCTTTCCTGTCGAAATCATATGGAGTGATATCTCGCTAAAGCTAAGGTCCAGTGAACTCTAACCCGTCCTGGTTGAATACCACATCTCCGTCGCTGCATCTTTCGATGACTAAAGCTGTAAAGCCCATCTCCTTGTCTACCAATGGCACGCAGGTGAGAAATTAATGGTCATTATCAGGCGTAATTCAAATTTTGGTGTTGAATTCAAATTAATGCTTTAGTAGGTCCCGTCTCCACAAAAGAGTTTAGCTTCTATTCACTACTACAAAATAGTTTTCGCCTATGATATTTTCACCGCCGGTTTTATTAAAACCATAGGTGGTAACTGATAACATATCACCACCCATTCGTAATAAAATTGGCAATGAAAATCATTTTCATGGTCGGTTCTGGAGAAAGACCATTGATGAAAAATATCCTTACTTTCACCACTGATTCGGTACAGGGACCAGCGGTAAAAATCTAGCCTCACGAGGGTGTGTCTCTCTAGCATGATCTGCCTGCCCAACTAACATGTATATGTTTGTGCTTCCTTAAAGTGTCTAACAAGCGGCCCCAATATTCTGGTGGTAAAGGATTATAAGTCTACGTTCCTTAGGAGAGTTTCTTCAGATAATGTTCTTTTAATGGATACTAGATCTTACCGCCAGCTACATGTAGCTTTTGTGGTCTTCAAAGTTTTGTATAGGGAAGGTGTTTGCAGGTATCCCTTTCCCTTGCTATCAGTTAGTGTGAGCTCAATCTCTAGCATGCGCTAAACGAACGAAGGAATAAGATGAGTAGAGGTTGCTCTTTATGTACTCTCTTATTTTTATTAGAGGCTGTTTTGTGCCAAGTTATCATTTTATACTCTCTATTATATATTGTTTCTCTTGATGAATATTGTGGGGGATATACCCCCGGGTACCACAAGATGGTACATGGGCCGCACCATCCGAGGTGTCCCGGCCTGTAAGATCGAGGCGTGCACGGCAAGATTACAAGTTGTACTAGATATTGTAATAGTACCAAATATGATACTTTACTTGTAACCCTCCTCCTCCTTAGCATACAAGGAGAGGCAGGGGTCCCCCTCAGGGATCACCTCAATCAATACAGAATAACGGGACACAGGACGTAGGTATTACGCCAACACGGCGGCCGAACCTGTATAAATCTTGTGTCTTGTGCCCTCTATAACCATCTGGTTCCTGATTACACGCACCGTCTACCGACAATCTACCATCATGGGCATACCCCTAGATGGACTGCCGACCATATTTCGTCGACAGTGGCGCGCCAGGTAGGGGTCCCCTTTAGGGGTCGTGCGTGCTGATCCTTCGGCAAGCCAGATGGGAAATTTCTCTTAACATCTGCTAAAAATCGGGTGAGTCGTTCTTAGCAACGTTGTTGATTAGATCAATCTGTTCTTCGAATGTCTAATACAGATTAATTGTTTCTGCATGTGCCAATCCGTCTCTCTCATCCGCGATCTGATTCATCTTCATCGCTCGGCAGCGAGCGTTTTTCTTTCATGTCACATGCGACTGCACGAGGAGACGGAACTGGACGCCACACGCACATGTCCACGGTGGACCGGTGGTTACTGCGTCGACGATTAGCAGCACGGCTTCGGATCTCGTGGCCACTTCACGTTGGACAGCCAGATCGGCGCACCTGTCTTCGGCCTCACAGTGTTCGTGCAAGCGACGAACTCCTATTCCTATGATTAGCAAGACAACGAGCTGGAACCAAGCAACTACGTGAGTCGTACAAGCTATCTGGCGAGCCACGTCGAGAGCCATCAAGCCGCTGAGCGAGCCGCATCGAGCCGTCTAGCGAGCCATGTCGGGCCAAGCGGGCCGATTGAGCAAGCCGTCCAAGCTCACGTCGACCACGGACCACGTCCAGAGCGGCTCCGCCGATCTCACGTCGACCACAGACCACGTCGACCACGTCCTGAGCGGCTCCGCCGAGCTCACGTCGACCACGGACCACGTCGACCACGTCCCGAGCGGCTCCGCCGAGCTCACGTCGACCATGGACCACGTCGACCACGTCCCGAGTGGCTCCACCGAGCTCACGTCGACCACGTCCCAAGCGGCTCCGCCGAGCTCCGACCACGTCGACCATAGACCACGCCAACCACGTCCCGAGTGGCTCCACCTAACTCCGACCACGTTGACCACCAGACCACATCGCAATGATGATCGCCGCGAAGAACGGCGCTACGACAACCGCGACCACCGTCATGACAATTTCATCACCGCCGACCAGATTTCTATCCAAAGATAAGTACACTTCTAATATTTATATTTAATATATTTTTCATTACGACGTTTCTCCATAACATTCTCGTCATGATTATTCTTTAAATAATGTTTGTCCATGTATACCATCTTAAATATAACATATAGCTATACTTAATGCAAATCCTCGACCCGATCATGTTGACGCTTCGATGTCTCCGAAATAGCCTTCCATCTCCGCGGCTCCTCCCTACACGTGCACGGCGTCGCCCTCTCTGCGTTATGGGTGGTCGGCAATGCTCCTTAGCGACGCTTTGTTCTTCCTACACGTATGCGGGCTCCGTGCCCCCGCGTTATGGTTAACGGGCTAGCTAGGGATGGAGACTCAGCTACACACTAACTGGTCGGACAGTTTATATTAAGTATAAATACAAACTTCACATTAACACTGATGTTTACAAAGCACCAACTGCTTTATCACATCATGCTCATTTGCAAATGACTGCTGAGCGTCATACGCTATTTCTTCACCGCTGATTTTCTCTCCATAATTTATTACTTTGTACATCATGTACTACCATTCTACATATTTATATTGCAGGAATTTCGAGCTACGCATGGGGACTTCGTCGCTCGCTCCTCGACCTGTGCTCGGGGACTGCCTCGACCACTCTCTGACCACAGCTCGGGGACTTCGTCGCTCGCTCCTTGACTTGTGCTCGGGGACCGCCTCAACCACTCTCTGACCACAGCTTGGGGACTTCGTCGCTCGCTCCTCTACCTGTGCTCGGGGACTGTCTCGACCACTCTCTGACCACAGGTTGGGGACTTCGTCGCTCGCTCCTCGACCTGTGCTTGGGGACTGCCTCGATCACTCTCTGACTACAGCTCGAGGACTTCATCGCTCGCTCCTTAACTTGTGCTCGGGGACTGCCTCGACCACTCTCCGATCACAGCTCGGGGACTTCGCGTCTCGACTACATGCGAATGGCGACTCGCATATAGTTGGGATATTTTTTCTCCTTTAGACCTTGCTACGAGGCTCATACCTCTCCTTCCAGCAAGCTCGGGGACTACATCGGTACGATGCACCTGATGGTGCATGCTGTATCTAATTAACAAGACTTTTTAGACCCTGGCACCACGTGCCTACGTCACCTACTACCAGGCTCGGGGACTAAGTGGGCACACTTCACCTTGCGGTGAATGTGCTTGTTTTTTGACCCCTACGCCTCTGATGATCAAAAACGCTACGCTTCAAGACACCCTTACGTTTCTTCACAGAAACCCAAGTGGGCACACTTCCCAGGACGGAAATCTTTTTCTTTCTTCTTAAGAGCACCATACATTCTTCGGACAACCTACTTCTCCTGCGACAACGGTGGTCGGAGATGCCAAGAACTCAAGCCTCACTGTTCGAAGAAGGTTAAAATGGCGTGTCGCATCAGAATACATGGCGCTCGGGGACTAGCTGTGGGGGATATACCCCCGGGTACCACAAGATGGTACATGGGCCGCACCATCCGAGGTGGCCCAACCCATAAGATCGAGGCGTGCACGGCAAGATTACAAGTTGTACTAGATATTTTAATAGTACCAAATATGATACTTTACTTGTAACCCTCCTCCTCCTGAGTATACAAGGAGAGGCAGGGGTCCCCCTCAGGGATCACCTCAATCAATACAGAATAACGGGACACAGGACGTAGGTATTACGCCAACACGGCGGCCGAACCTGTATAAATCTTGTGTCTTGTGCCCTCTGTAACCATCTGGTTCCTGATTACACGCACCGTCTACCGACAATCTACCATCGTGGACATACCACTAGATAGACTGCCGATCATATTTCGTCAACAAATATCAAATATGAGGCACCTTTTGAGTATCTTTATTAAAAAAAACTTGAAGGAAAAAATCACCTTTAATAGCTCCTACTGAATCAAAGACACAAAGTACTTCACCCGTGCTGAACTGAACTGGTTTATTATTACTAGCCTAACACTGATGGCAAAGTATTCCTATCGGTGTGGAACCAACCGAAAGAAAAATTACAAATCACAAACCACACAGAGGAATGACAAAATTCATGTGTAGAAATGCCATAATGATTTTGACCTGACACTCTTTTCTTATCTACTACTGAATTATTGCTGCTGTCAAGCTTTCATACTTCACTACAGTGCGATTTCTATCTATAGCTGTGTCATTTGAATAGTCCAACGTTTGGTCATGTCATGTGCCATCCTTTTCTTGCATGTCACATTGATGGTTGTCCCACATTTATTTCCCAGACAGAGATGCTATCTATAATACTTTTCAAAGATAAAATATTTTCAGTCATTTGAATAGAAAAAAAATGTAGTAATCATTTAAAATTTTGACCAGGTTCCTGTTGATGATTGGGCTACTACTGCAGATATTCATGCCTTATTTAACGACTTCCACCCCCAGAGATGGAAGGCGCACCAGGCAGCCACGGCAAAGTGCAGACAAACCACAATACAACCATCACCTTGCTGAAGAATGAAGATCCATAAGATGATTCCCAGCCTATGTACATGGCAGATCTCCATGCTCACTCTTATCACCAATATCCTCTTTGTTATATCCACCTCTCCATCTCCTAACCCTAGCCACCATGATCTCTTGGCGCTCTTATCCCTCAAATCCCACATAACAAGTGATGCACTGTCGTCATGGGATGCAGCAAGCAACGACACCAGCAAACCAGTTCCTAATTTCTGCAAATGGACTGGCGTGACCTGCGGCGACCGTCGCCACCCTGGCCATGTCACTGCCATAGATCTGCATGGCTATGGCCTTGGAGGCACCATCTCTCAAGACATCGGCAACCTCACATACCTCCACTTCATTGATCTATCGTCCAATAACCTGGTAGGTGATATTCCCTCCAGCCTTGGCAATTGCAGAAGACTTCGTACTATGAATTTGAGCAGTAACCACTTGTCTGGTTCTGTCCCTACTCCTCTGGGTCACCTATCAAAGCTCAAAATTTTCAATGTCAACAACAACAATCTGACTGGTGAAATTCCCACGACACTATTTAATGTCACAACGCTAATGATCCTTAGAATTGGGGGAAACTCCTTTCAGGGCCAAATCCCCAGCTGGTTGAGCAACCTAACATCATTGACTGATTTGTATCTTGTGAATAACAACTTCAGTGGCAACATCCCTGCAGATTTATGTAAGTTAAGTAACCTCACAACGTTTGATGTAATGAATAACAAGCTTGACGGCCCTGTTCCTCCATCACTCTTCAATATTTCGTCCATCACTACCTTAGGTCTTGACATGAACCAGCTTACAGGATCACTGCCACTTGATATTGGCTTTAAGCTTCCCAAGCTATATGCTTTGGCCACATATTACAATTACTTTGAGGGTCCAATACCAGCCTCCTTATCAAATGCATCTGAACTCCAATATCTGATTCTTCGTGGAAACCGATATCATGGTTTGATCCCACGGGACATTGGTATTCACGGTAAATTGAAGTTTTTTTCGGTAGGCTGCAATGAACTACAAACCACAAAGCCTACGGATTGGGAGTTTATCACATCCTTAACCAACTGTAGCAACTTGAAAAGAATAGACCTCGAAGAAAACAACTTTTCAGGTGTTATGCCGGTTAGTATCGCCAACCTATCTCGAAAACTCGAGTGGCTTACAATTGGCACAAATCACATAGCCGGGACCATATCTTGGGTAGGGATGTTCCAAAACCTTACAAAGCTTACCCTTGAGGATAACCTATTTACAGGCACCTTACCTATAGATATTGGCAAGCTTTCTAGTCTCGATATTCTTGATCTGAGTCATAATGGATTTGAAGGGCAGATTCCACAATCAATAGGCAATGTCACAGTACTGGATAATCTTTCTCTATCTAATAACTTTCTGAACAACAGCATTCCGCCAAGCCTTGGAAAATTATCGAATATTGTATCCATGGATCTTTCTTGTAACCTGTTGACGGGCCAAATCCCACTGGAGATATTTAGTATTCCTTCCCTGACCATACTTCTTAACCTTTCCAGAAATGCTCTAAGTGGGGCAATCCCAACACAGATTGGGCACTTGAAGAGCCTCGGCACAATGGACCTCTCAATGAATAAGCTAGATGGTGAAATCCCAGAGGCTATTGAGGGTTGTGTCCAACTGCGATTCCTATACTTACAAGGAAATCTACTGCAAGAGCAAATCCCAAAAGGGTTGAATACTCTGGGAGTGCTTGAAAAATTGGATCTCTCGAGCAATAACTTAACAGGACCCATACCCAAATTTCTAGAGGGCATTAGATCTCTATAAGCTATCTAAACCTGTCCTTCAATAACCTATCTGGTCCTGTGCCAGATGCAGGTGTCTTTTCTAATTCCACTATATTGTCGGTCACAGGTAACACCATGCTATGTGGTGGTCCTCCATTCTTGCAACTCCATTCATGCCCATCTATACCTTCTCACAAGGCTTCACCGCATCGATTGCACATATTTATCTTTGGAGCTATTGGATTATTCATCTTTTGTGTATGCTCCGTAACTGCTTATTGCTTTATTAAGAGAAGGACCACATCAACTTTTGTTCATCATGAGCACCTATTCTTTAATGAGGAGCATGAGAGAATATCCTATGCCGAGCTACATAAAGCAACAGGATCATTCTCTCCAGCAAATTTGATTGGTTCTGGAAGCTCTGGCAAAGTGTACTTTGGAAATTTAACTTTTGGTGAGAATTTAGCTACCGTAGCAATCAAGGTTCTTGATCTTGGACAACAAAGAGCCAGTAGAAGCTTTTTAGCTGAGTGTAATGCTCTAAAGAGGATCCACCACCGGAAATTGGTGAAGGTGATCACCGTGTGCAGTGGCTTCGACCATAATGGTAATGAATTCAAGGCACTTGTCCTAGAATATATTTGCAATGGGAGTTTAGATGACTGGCTGCATCCAGACAAAATGACAAATAGCAAGATCAGAAGAAATCTAAGTTTGATGAAAAGACTCAACATTGCTCTTGACGTTGCAGAGGCATTGGAATATCTTCACGATCATATTGATCCACGGATAGTTCATTGTGACATTAAACCAAGCAACATACTTCTAGATGATGATTTGGTTGGACATGTTACAGACTTCGGTTTAGCAAAGATAATGTCGTCTGAAGCAGGCAGGAAAAACCATCATGAAACTGAAGGCAGCTCATTTGCAGTTAAAGGCACAATTGGATATATCCCCCCAGGTCAGTAATCAAACGGTTGTTGACGCATATGAATATGTTGCTGTTCTGAAGATTATTTATCTGATAAACTGATAATATTAAATTTTTATGTGATCTAATTATAATGTAGCCAATGAAATTTCCTTTTCTGTATATCCCAGAGTATGGATCAGGATGTGATGTCTCCACGGATGGTGATACATATAGCTACGGGGTACTCCTGTTAGAAATGTTTACTGGAAGAAGGCCAACTGACAGTTTCAACGATGGCGTGCCAAATCTTGTCAGCTTTGTTAAGATGGCTTATCCTATTAATCTACTAGAGATACTTGATGTTACTGCATCATACAGTAGAAACACAGACACCCAAGCTATCCTAGATATTCTCGTTTATCCAATATTTAGAGTTGCTTTAGCATGTTGCAATGACTCACCAAGACAAAGAATGAAGATGCACGACATAGTGGAGGAGTTGAATGCTATAAAATGGCATGCGCTGTTCAGATGCCGTACTCATAAATTACGGGCTGACACATGAACTAGGCTGGCAATAAGATGGTTCATTTTAGTCTACAAACTTGCTAATATCCCTTGTGAACCTCCAAGTTTGCTAATTTCCTTGTGAACCTCTGATTTGTAAAAGGACTTTTATTGGTGATTCTTAAGTCAAGTATATTGCCACTGATTTTTACTTTACATATGTTTAATTTTTTTTTTAATCGTCTATACCTAAATAAGAATCGATCAACAATAGGCCAATGAAACCAAACTAAAAATACATCGCCAATACTTCCTGCCGATCCATCCATCAGCCACATCAAAAATCTGCTGCAGATCATCAGTCGCACGGCATAAAGAACAGGCCACTAGCGATCCATCCATCAGCAAAACGGAAGAACACTGGCGAACTAACTGCGGAAGCTCTGGAGCCGGCCGCCGTCGCTCTCGGGTGGGATGAGCGGGTGAGGGAGAGTGTGGCCGGTGGCTGATGGCCGGTGGTGGCGCGGTGCGGATGACGGGACGAGCGGGGTGCGGGGCTGCGAGCCTGTGTCGAGGCCGCCGTCGCCCTAGGTGGGATGAGCGTGAGGGAGAGCCTAAGAGGGTTGAGGGATTGAGAGTTCCAGGCTTATTTACCTATGGTTGCTAGTTGGGCTCCTAATGGGCTGAATCTTTCAGGACCCAAATGGATATCTGCGGGTGAAATTGATGATCCGCACCAAATCCGTTGCATTTCGGGTATCCGAACCCGAAAATTCGTGGGCAAAACCTAGACACCAAAACCGAAACCCGTGGACCCGAAACTCACGGATATCCGCCCGAACCCGATCCGCTGCCATCTTATGTCCGCCCACAAAGGTGGTTAATTTTCAGAGATGGTTCTTTTTATGAAAACAGCCCGTGGAAACACTCCCTCCCCCGGTCCTCCGCAAAGTTTCAGAGGTTACTGTGTTAAGTGAACCACTCTTAAAAGTTTTAGAGGTTACTGTGTTAAATGGGTTGCCTGTGGAGATAAGGTGATTCATAGTTAGACGTGGCTAGCAGTTTCAACTGGCCATGAAAAAAACTACAGAAATGCTATAAATAGGACGTCCGACGCCAGCGACTCCCTTCGGATGGACGCGTAGCGTGACGTGCACCACAACTTTGTCTTTTTCTATTCCCTGCTCATTTCCATGTCTCTTATTCTCATCCGGATGCCGCGCCGCACTCCACTCACTACTGCGGCATTCTCCCACTGTGCCCCCGACCCTGTGTCGCTCGCTCGCTCACTCCTCCCTCCCACGCCGTCGCGCGCCCTACCTGCACCACTCACTCTCCTCGCTCCTCGCTCCTCTCCCCCGCCCGTCACGCGCTCCCTCTTGTAACGCTAGCGTCAGCCCAGTTGAGCCAAGGCTGTCTTCTTTGGTCTTTGGATGGTGGTGGTGCTTGTCTTGTCATTGCTTCACCCAGATCCCACCCCGATGACCGAAATCGATCGGCCCCAGCCTTCCCCTCCCCTATGTTGGAAATGTATGTTTCAAGTGTTTCATATGTTTCAGAGGTATGTTGCAATTGTTACATATGGATGTTGCAAAGTAGATTGGGTTGCACATGTTACATATTTTTGCAAGTGTTTTGAGTGTTATGTTGCAAGCGTTTAAAAAAATGTTTTCAGACATATGTTGTAACAAGTGTTTTATCTAGATGTTGCATATGTTTTACACACATGTTGTAAGTGTTTTATGTGGATGTTGCATATGTTTCACACACATGTTGCAACAGTGTGTTTCTAATGTTTCATCTGTGTCCAACGTATGTTGCATCCAAGTGTTTCACGAGGGCACAGTGAGTGATGGGCTCATGGCCCAGGCGCCGGGGGATGGGGCGTGGCAAAGCTGGGGACCGACAGACGTGGTGCAGCAAGCTGGGGGTGGGCTCCTGAGTCCCGCCCACACGGAGAGAGAAGAAAGGGTCTGAGGGAAGGAGTGGGGCACGGTGACGAGTGTAGGGTGCTCATGCGAGGCGAGGCGAGCTGAGGTGGATGGGGGCGGGCTTGTGGCCATCCATCCGGACGCGAGGAGCAGCGGGCGCAGGTCACCAGCGGTCCCCACGGCGCGGGCCCCTAGGTGGACGCAGCGTGAAAAGTAGGCACAGAGAGGGAGGAACTCCAGCGCCAGCTTGAGAAACGAATCGGCTCGGTCCATGGTACCGTCCGATGGATCAATATCCGGACGTCTCGAAAAAACTAGACACCTATAGAAAAAGCATTTGTGTAGTAGTGTCTTTCCTCGTGCCTCTGGGCTTTAGTGACAGGCTGAGCAGGTAGAGTTGCAAATTTGCATATGATGCATGCACAATTGGCCGCCTGTGCTCAAAGTGGTTCCAACTTGCCACGTAGCGAGAAAATGGGCTAGCTGCCTCTATGTTTCCAAAGACCATCGCGTGAGTCATAAAAAATAAAACCCATCGCGTGTGGCGTGCGCTCCTGACCCTTTCTTCTACCTCGCTAGGTTGCTCCTAGTGGCGCCTCAACGGCTAATGGGCATGTTCATTTGGTTGGTCTTTGGTCTTTGGTCTTTGGTTTAAAATTTGGTTGGTCTTTGGTTTTTTAGAGAAAAACACATTGGCTAGCTGGTTTAGGTTATTTGAAACCAACCAAATGAACCGCTGAATGGTTCAAGTGAGATTGCAAAATGGAGCAAGAGAAATCGAGCATGTGGTGTGCTGGACAAAACGAAATCTCGTTGAGCTGGTTCGACGCCACATTTCAAATTGATCCGATTGAACATGTTTTTCAAATAAAATATAGTTGATTTTGGATTACTTTTAATTTTGCCTTGGATCATTAAGCTCAGTCAGCTTGAAGTTGGGTTCCAAACAACAAATATGAACAAATTAATTTCAAAAAAAGTGAGAAAAAACTTACTCATTATCCACCCCTATTGCGGACCTTGGAACAATACTGATGGATAATAGATGGGCCACGAGGTAGCGTCGCTTTTGTGGGCTGAAACGTATAATATGGATTCCCTAGCCCCGCAAGAGAAGTTAGTTAAAGAAGGAAAATGTTCATTTTGTCTCCCTCATCTATCACAAAAGTTTGTTTTTTCTCCCTTAACTCTAAAATTGGAAATAGCTCATCCCTCGTCTCTCAAAGCCTGACACTTAACGCCCATGGTTGTTTACCTTGGTGGTTTTTCTTTCTTTTTTTGTTTATTTTAGTTGAATATTTGAAAAATCATAGTAAGTCAAGAAAAATCATAAAATGGAAAATCCAATGCGGTGGGCTCTAGATGAGTAGATCTATGCAGTGAACATATGATTTGATATGATTTAGTACAATTTTTTTTGTTGTAGCTTTAAATCTATGCTTCTCTGTAATTAATTCATAGCTATAGTTTCTTTGGTCCAATTATCGTGAAATTTTTATGGTGGACTAATAATTTCATGCTTGATATGTAGTAAAAATTTCATGCTCATTGGATCATATATGACTAAGTTATAGAATTATCTAGTTTTATCTATTGATTTATCTAGATAAAACTATAACTCAGTCATACATGATCCAATGAACATGAATTTTTTGCTACACATCTGAAGAATGAAATAATTAGTCCTCCATAAAAAATTGACTTTAATTGGACCACAGAAACTACAGCTATGAATTAATTACAGAGAAGCATAGATCCTAAGCTACAACAAAACTTTGTACTAAAGCACACCATAACATATGTTCACTATGTAAATCTACTCAGGTGGAGTCCAACAAAAATTTCATGCTCATTGGATCATGTATGACTGAGTTATAGATTAATTTCATTTAAAACTATTTAACAAATATAAACATCGATAAATCTATAACTCACTCGTACATGGTCCAATGAGCATGAAATTTTAACCGCAGCTCAAGCAGTCAATGGTTAGCCCACCGTAAAAATTTCACCACAATTAGACTAGAGAAACTACAGCTATAAATTAATTATAGAAAAAAGCATAGATCTAAAGTTACAGCAAAAACTTTATACTAAAGTGTACTATATCATATGTTCACCATGTACATCTACTAATGTGGAATCCAACACAATTGGATTTTCGATTTTATGTTTTTTCTATGATTTATTAGATTTTTCAAAGATTCAACTGAAATAAACATAAAAGAAAAAAAGAGAACCACCGAGGCAAACAACCATGGGTTCAAGTGTCCGATCTTTTTTTTGTTTTTTGAGAAATGTCAAGTGTCCGGTTTTGAGAGATGAGGAGGAGCTATTTCCGGTTTTAGAGCTGAAGGAAGAAAAGTTGACTTTTTACGATAGTTGAGAGAGATAAAATGGACTTTTTCTGTTAAAGAAAAGAAAAGCTAGGTCAGTCCATGATAGATTGAAACTGGACCATAAAATAAGGGAGGTACCCTGGACATTTGGGCCATGACTAGGCTGTGGACCTAGTTGCCGCGGCTAGGCCCATACCCGCCGCTGACCCTGAAGAAGTGGGAATCGCATTTGCATTAGGTCCGGGAGCACTCGATTTGTTCGTGGACACATTTCTCCATCTGATCGGGGTTTTTTTTTCGAAACTGTCCATCTGATCGTTTTGGTTAGCACGGATCGGATTACCGTGCCTTTGGTTAGATGGATTGGCTGCTGTGTCAGCGTGCGTTTTTTTTTTGTCGAGTTGGAATTATAGCCGGATCAGTCGGGCCTGCGTAGTCCAGTATATAAACCGAACCTTTGCCACTTCACTGCCAGCCGGGCCGCCACCGCCTCCGCCTCCGCCTAGCAAGAGGAGGCACCATCCAACCTGCCGCGGTCGTCGAGTTCCGGTAATCCGCCAGCATTCCTTCCCCCAAACTCGACGCTCCTCTGTCCCTACTCCCTTGCCTCCTGCTCTCGCCGCGGGTCGCGCGCGCAAGGTGTTCGATGCATTGCCTGTTTTTCCTGCGCTTCGATGCAAGCACGCGCCACCCACGGTGCTCGCGTTTTGCTGCCGGTTTATGAACGCAATGTGTGTCCTCGCTGACGGCTGCTGTTTTTCCGATCATATTTGCAGGGTCGGATCAAC